GTCTTCTGAACCTTTTCAAAGTCCCCATCCCCACCTTGCAGTTGCTCTCCTCACAGTGAAGGTTGGTGGCTTTGAAGGTCATGCTTAACTATACGCATTACTGAACCTTCTTCCTGTGGGAGTCGCTCTTCCCTAACTTCCTGAGGGCAAGTGGGTCTCCCATCAGGCTGAGAGCTCCCAAGGCAGCGCTGCGTATCCCAGGAGTTTCTCTCCTCCTCCTGCTCTCCAAGCACCTACTGGGCTCTGTTCATTGAGGGACTTGAAGTTGAAGGTGACCCGGAACTTAGCAAAGGACTGCAAAGAGTGTCAAACCTAGAAGCCCAGTGAAGCAATGGCCCACTGATTCTACAGTCCTCTCAGACTCCAGGGGAGTGGGGAGTAGAGGGACACATTTGATGCCAGGTCTGTGTGGCTGCCATCCAGGCCAGCCACAACAGCATACCTTTGGTACCACTGGAAGACTTAACCAGATTCCAGAGCTGATGGGCACCTTGGCCCAGAGCCCACCACTGGTTTTCCGTTCCCATTAATGCACTCCTTGTTCACCATGTGTGCTATGAGATATTTTTCCAGGTGATAGGTTCTAGAGTAAGTTGAATTTCCCTAACAAGCTGGCCTGCAAATCACTAAGAGGGCAGGAAGAGAGAGGAAAGCAGCTCCTGTTAGAGTCTAACACTGGCCACCCGTACATTAATCCCCGCTGGAGCAACCTGCCCAGACTAAAGAATGGGAAAAAATGTCTAGAAGGTACCCTCTTTCCTGGATTTCCCACCCGTCAAATAAATCTAGTTAATTGTCTCTGCCAATCTGTGAGTCTGGCGTGGAGAGGACCAGAAGGAAGAGAAGGGCTGAGATAGAAGAAGAAAAGAAGAAAAATATAAGCCTTGATATTCATATAATGCTTTATATCTTTTCAAAGCAATTTTCACCTCTGTAAACCCAACATTCATTATGTGCTGTTATTATATACACATTTAGCTATTGGAATTTTAGTGAGAGCCTACCATGTGTCAGGCTTCCTGCTCAGAGCTCAGAGAAATATAATGGTGAATTAGAACTTGAGGAGATAAAAGCCTGGGGTGGGGTGGAGGGAGACAGAATAAGCAAATAACGAGGCCTTAGGCTGGAAAAGAGAGTAATGGGGACCAAAGGAGGAAAACCCACCCTATGACAGAGATGTGAAGGGCTTTACAGAGGAGGCGATGGCTGATCATGCAAGAGGAGTAAAGGAGGAGATGTGAAGAAGAAAGTCCTTCATTTTGTCTAGCCTGACTCTCCTTACAGGCGATGTTCATCAGAGAGCAGCTGGCATGGTGAAAGACCTAGAAACCACAGTATTCTGGGAAAAGATGAAAGAATGTTGGCATTTGATCTGGAGAAGAGATTTGAAGATAAAGAATAGCCTCATCATTATGTGAAGGACCGAAAGGTGATATAAAGACAAAGTAGATGCTCCGGGTGACTCCAGAGGGGAGAACCAGGGCCAGTGGGCGGAAGGAACTTTTGAGCTCATTAGAGAGACAACATGTAATGCCGTGCAGACAAAGCAACCAGGAGTAATGTCCCTCCCCCTCAAGAGAACATTTGACAATGTCTGGAGATGATTTTCGTCGCAACTGGAGGGAGGGTGCTACTGGCATCCAGTGGGAAGAAGCCAGGGGCAATGCTATACATCCCACAATGCTCAGGACAGCCCCTCAATAAAGAATTTTCCAGCCTCACATGTCAGCAGTGCCAAGGTCAACGTAGCAGATGTAGAGGAAAGAACACGGGGTTGGAGTTCTAACCTCAAATACCAGCACTGCTACTTATTAGTCTTGAGACCGTGAACAAGTTACTCAAGCTCTCTTGTCAGTGTCCTCACCTGTGAAATGGGTAAAATAGAACCGAATTTGCAGGTCAGAGTGCCACTCAGTGAGGTCTTTCTGTACAGCACAGCATAATACAGTGCCCTGCAAAGTGCCTGCTATAGAGAAAGTGCCCAGTAGTGCCTGCTATTATAACATGAGGGAGATTTTGTTTCCTTTTCCTCAGTAGGACTGCCCAAAAGTGGATCCGACCACCAGAGAGACTGAGAGTTGTAAGGAGTTTTCTGTCTCC